TCCCCCCCCTCCTCCCCTTCCTCTCCCCCCTTTCCCAACTCCCTCCCCTCCTCTCCTCTCCTCTCCCCTCCCTCTCCCCCTTTTTCCCTCCTCCCTCCTCCTCTCCTCCCCCTCTCTTCCCCTTTCCCTCCTCTCCTCTCCTCCCCCCCTCCCTCCCGTCCTCTCCTCCCCCCTCCCCTCCCTCCTCCTTTCCCCGTTCCTCTCCTTTCCCCTCCCCCCTCCTCCTCCCCCCCCTCCTTTCCCCCTCCCTTTTCCTCTCTCCCTCTCCTCTCTCTCCCTCCTCTCCGCTCCTCTCCTCTCCCCTTTCCCCCTCCCTCCTCTCCCTTTTCCCCTTTTCCCTTTCCTTCCTCTCCCTCCTCTCCCCCTTTTCCCACCCCTTCCCCCCCGCTTCCTTCTTTTTCCGTCCCTTTTCTCCTCTCCTCTCCTCTCCTCCCCTTTCCCCCCCTCTTCCTCTCCTCCCCCGAAAACCCCCCTCCTCTCCTCTCCTCTCCCTTTTTCCCTCTCTCCTTCCTTCCCCTCCCCTCCCCTCCCCTTTCCCTCCCTTCTCTCCTCTCCTCCCCTTTCCCCTCCTTCCTCTCCCTTTTCCCCCCCCTCTCCCCCCTCTTTTCCCTCCCCCCCTCTTCCCTCCTTCCTCTCCCCTCCTCTTTCCCCTCCCCTTTCCCCCTTTTTCCTCTCCTCCCCCTCTCCTCTCCTCTCCTCTCCCCTTTCCCCCCATCCTCTCCTCTCCTCCCTCCTCTCCTCTCCTCTCCTCTCCTCCCCCCCTCCCTCCTCCCCCCCTCCCCCTCCTCTCCTCTCCCTCTCCTCTCCCTCTCCTCCCCCCTCTCCTCTCCCTCCCCTCCTCTCCTCTCCTCTCCTCTCCCCTTTCCCTCCCTTCCCCCTCCTCTCCTCTCTTTTTCCCTTCCCCCCTCTCCCTTCCCCTCCCTCGTATTCCTTCCTCCCCCCTTCCCCTCCCCTCCCTCTTCCCCTCCCTCCTCTCCTCTCCTCTCGCCCTCCCCTCCTTCCTCTCCTCTCTCTTCCCTCCCTCCTCTCCTCTCCTCTCCTTCCCCCTCCCTTCTACTCGCTAGGTTCTTCCCCCTTTTTTTCCCCACTCATCTCCCCCCCTTCCCGTCAATTTTCCCCCTTTCCCCCTTTTTCCCTTTTCCCCTCCTTCTTTCCCCCTCCCCCCTCTCCTCCTCTTTCCCCTCTTTTTCCCTCCTCGCCCTCCTTTCCCCTTTTTTCCTTTCCCCCCCCCCCTCTTCCTTCCCCCTCTCTCCCGCCCCCCAAAAGGGTCCCCCCCCGCCCCCTGGGGCCCCCCCCTTCCCCTTTGGGCCCCGCCTTTCCCCTTTTTTCCCCGCCTTTCCCCATTTCTCCCCCTTCCTCCCTTGGGCCCCCCCTTCCCCCTTTCCCCCCCTGTCCCACTTTCCCCCCCTTTTTCCTTTCCCCCCCTGTCCCACTTTCCCCCCCTTCTCCTTTTCCCCCCTCCCCCGTTCCCCCCCTTCCCAACCTGTTTGGGATTCCCCTTTCTACCTTTTTATTCCCCCTCTTCGTTATTTTCCTCAGTCCTCCGTTTTTCCGCCTTTTCGTCCTTCCCCCTCTGTTTTCTTCCTTTTTCCCCCTCGCCCCCCCTTTTTCCTTTTTCCCCTTCCCCCCCCCCCCCCTCTCTCCTGTGCCCATCATTTCACTCTTTGTGTCACTTTCAGTCTTTTTAATTTGTCCTCTTTCTCTGTGGTTCCTCTCTCCCTCAGGAATGTGTTGTGTGTCTTGGCATATCTCTCTGCTGTGGACTAAAATAAAAAGTCAGCTAAACTGAGCCTGACCACGGCATGTGAATAAATTAGTTTTCTATTGGCCATCTGTCATAGTCCTGTGAATAAACTAGTTTTCTATTGGCCAGCCTTAGGGGGATGTTCAGCTACCTCACCATCCACAATGTCACTGACTGCCCAAATGACACTCTCCCCCCCCCCTCCTCTCGCTCTCTCTCGCTCGCTCTCCTTCGTCCATCAATGTCTGTCACTTTCAATCTTTCATATACTCTTTATTCCACTTTCCATCTCGTACTAATGTTTAATCTCTCTCCTCCCCTCTCTCGTCAGGTAGAGAACATCCTTCTGAGTGATAATGGGAGTTATGTTCTGTGTGATTTTGGAAGTGCTACTCACAAGGTGCTGCTCCCACACAAAGACGGCGTGACCGCCGTGGAGGACGAAATCAAGAAGTAAGTGTATGACCTTTTGAACATGGTGTGTACCTCACTTGTCATCTACGTGCCTACATTCGTAGCTACACGTCATCGGATCGACTGTGTGGGCTGTCGTGTGTGTGGGCTGCAGTGTTGCCAACTCCTCAGTATTGGCTGTCCTAAAAGTCGCTAGATGTCGCTAAATGACGTCATCGCCTAATTTGCATAATTGGCAATGTGCATGTAATTGTGATGGACGCTGTAGGAGAGAGGAATAACGCTGTAGGAGAGAGGAATAACGCTGTAGGAGAGAGGAATAACGCTGTAGGAGAGAGGAATAACGCTGTAGGAGAGAGGAATAACGCTGTAGGAGAGAGGAATAACGCTGTAGGAGAGAGGAATAACGTCATGGGAGAGACAAAAAGGGAGTAAAAAACACCCTACATTTACATCCCGCCCTGAATGTCAGCCAGGGCGGGATCAGCCAGCGGCGGCTTCCCGCATGCGCGATTCATTTGCAGTCTGGACGCGGAGGGTTGAACATCTCCTGCTCTGACTGCAGCTGGGAGGGACTGCTGCGCGAGGACTGGGCCGCCTGTGAGTGCTTTGGGACAGGGGTGGGGCCCACGGCAGCACCCGCTGCTCGTTGAGAAGAGTAAGAACGATACGTGCTTTCACGTCAGTCTCCAAAAGTCTCCAATAACACCAGAAAAAGTCGCTAGATTTGTCGCTAGTCGCCTTTTTGAAAATGTGTCGCTAGAGGGGTCTGAAAACTCGCTAAATATAGCGACAAAGTCGCTAAGTTGGCATCACTGATGGGCTGTCCTGTGTGGGCTGTCCTGTGTGGGCTGTCCTGTGTGGGCTGTCCTGTGTGGGCTGTCCTGTGTGGGCTGTCCTGTGTATTGGCTGTCCTGTGTGGGCTGTCCTGTGTATTGGCTGTCCTGTGTGGGCTGTCCTGTGTGGGCTGTCCTGTGTGGGCTGTCCTGTATGAGCTGTCCTGTATGGGCTGTCGTGTATGGGCTGTCGTGTATGGGCTGTCGTGTATGGGCTGTCGTGTATGGGCTGTCGTGTATGGGCTGTCGTGTATTGGCTGTCGTGTATGGGCTGTCCTGTAGTTCCAGTACTGGTAAGTTACCACATGTACCTCAGCACTCTGTCCAACACAAGTCCTATAAATACAAACACTTTGGGGTAACACTTTTATTTTAAGTTTCTGTAATAAACCATTTATAAAATGTGTTCACCATTTATGAATCATTACTCCCACATTTATGAACCATTTACTAATCATTAGTAAAGTGTTTTTTCCGCCCCTAATTTAAATCGAGCGCTATTTCTGCTTTAAGAATACTTTATAAAATGTTTTGAGTGACCAGTGCAATTTCTCACAGGAAGATGGGCATGCCATTGGTAGGACCTGGTAATAGAATAAGTGCACACCACAGGATGTTTAAGGAACTATATGTCTGAATAACTAACGTACTAACATTTACAAATGTGGTAGTAATGATTAATAAATGGTGAGCATACTGTTTGTAAATGCCTTATAAATGCCTTATGAATGGTTTGTAAATGCCTTATGAATGGTTTGTAAATGCCTTATGAATGGTTTGTAAATGCCTTATGAATGGTTTGTAAATGCCTTATGAATGGTTTGTAAATGCCTTATGAATGGTTTGTAAATGCCTTATGAATGGTTTGTAAATGCCTTATAAATGGGTTATTACAGACCCACTTCAGCCCTGCACTCTTACATAGCACTATGCAGTGCACTAATGTGGGCTCTGGTCAAAACCCACTTCCTGTGTGTGTGTGTGCAGGTACACCACCCTGTCATATCGAGCTCCAGAGATGATTAACGTGTACGCTGGGAAAGCCATTACCACCAAGGCTGATATATGGGTAAGTTGGAGCGGTGGGGGGTGTACGGACATGGTGGTGTGTGTGTGTGTGTGTGTGTGTGTGTACATGGCGGTGTGTGTGTGTGTGTGTGTGTGTGTGTGTGTGTGTGTGTGTGTGTGTGTGTGTGTGTGTGTACATGGCGGTGTGTGTGTGTGTGTGTGTGTGTGTGTTGTGTACATGGCGGTGTGTGTGTGTGTGTGTGTGTGTGTGTGTGTGGACTCTAGCCAGTCAGTAACAGAAGAGCTTGAAGTGTGTGTGTGTTGTGTGTGTGTTTATATACAAAAGTATCTGGACACCCCTTCAAATTAGTGGATTCAGCTATTTCAGCCACAGCCGTTGCTGACAGGTGTATAAAATCGAGCACACCGCCATGCAATCCCCATAGACAAACACTGGCAGTAGAACGGCCCTTACTGAAGAGCTCAGTGACTTTCAACGTGGCACCGTCATAGGGATGCCACCTTTTCCAACAAGTCAGTTCGTCAAATTTCTGCCCTGCTAGAGCTGCCCCGGTCAACTGTAAGTGCTGTTATTGTGAAGTGGAAACGTCTAGGAGCAACAACGGCTCGAAGTGGTAGGCCACACAATCTCAAAGAACGGGACCGCAGAGTTCTGAAGCGCGTAGCGCGAAACAATTGTCTGTCCTTGGTTGCAACACTTACTACCGAGTGTGTGTGTGTTTTATTTATTATTATTTTATTTTTATTTAACCTTTATTTAACCAGGTAAACCAGTTGAGAACAAGTTCTCATTTACAACTGCGACCTGGCCAATATAAAGCAAAGCAGTGCGATTAAAAACAACAACACAGAGTTACATATGGGGTAAAACAAAACAAAGTCAAAAATACAACAGAAAATATATATACAGTGTGTGCAAATGGTAGCAAGTTATGGAGGTAAGGCAATAAATAGGCCATAGTGCAAAATAATTACAATTTAGTATTAACACTGGAATGATAGATGTGCAAGAGATGATGTGCGAATAGAGATACTGGGGTGCAAATGAGCAAAATAAATAACAATATGGGGATGAGGTAGTTGAGTGTGTGTGGGGGGGGTGTAGGTGTGTGTGTGTGTGTGTGGGGGGGGGGGGGGGGGGGGTCTGGCAGTGGTGAAAAAATTACTCAATTGTCATACGTAAGTAAAATTGTCATGCTATACGTTAAATTCCTGATATGAAGCAAACTAGACAGCACCATGTTCTTGTTTTTAAAATGTATGTAGAGCCAGCGGCACACTTTAACACTCAGACATCATTTACAAACACAGGATTTATGTTTAGTGATTCCGTCAGATCAGAAGTTATATTGAATGGTGTGTGAATTGGATCATATTGCTGTCCTGCCTGAGCATTCTAAATGTAACGAGTATTTTTGCTGTCAGGGAAAATGTATGGAGTAAAAAGTACATTATTTTCTTTAGGAATGTAAAAGTAAATAAATAAAAAAAAAAAAAAAAAAAAAAAAATATATATATATATATATAGTAAAGTAATCTAGAGATAAACCAAAAAACTACTTAAGTACTTTACACCACTGGTGTGTGTGCGGGGGGGTGATCGTGGGATATCTGTGTTTGTTCTCACCCATCAAGGGACAGCAGTCCCAGATCATTCCAAATTCTCCTTTTATACAGCTTCATCAGCAAGCACAGAGAACCAGAGACGGATGAATGTATATTATGACTCCATGTTAGCACTTCACTACAAGGACAAACTGAAATGAGAAATATACTGTCTTCATTTGTCAGACAGAGGAGAGAGCATTCCCCATGTTATATAACACACTGTATATAGGCATGCATTGGAATATGGTTTAATTATGATGTTGTACAAGCTGCGTTTCTCTGTTTCAGGCTCTCGGTTGCTTGTTGTACAAGCTGTGTTTCTCTGTTTCAGGCTCTCGGTTGCTTGTTGTACAAGCTGTGTTTCTCTGTTTCAGGCTCTCGGTTGCTTGTTGTACAAGCTGTGTTTCTTCTCTCTCCCGTTCGGGGAGAGTCAAGTCGCCATATGTGACGGAACCTTTATCGTTCCTGACAATTCCAAATTCTCCTTGAAGTTGCACTGCTTAATCAGTAAGTAGCACTGCCCAGTTTTTCAGCACCACACTAACCACCAAGCTGTCAATCCATATAACAATTAAACCACAATGAACATTGTCATGTGAATGTTTCTGATGTGTAAACATTTAACTTTCCAATTCATTTGACCAATCAGACTCTGTCATTGTTCACACACCCACTGTAGACCTTTAATACAAATATTAGCCAATAGCACCACCTTGTGGACAAATGTGAGAAAAGCATTTAATACATTGAACCAGGGTGATAATGGATTATACCAAGGTAGTAATAGTATTTCATACCGCATTACAATTCACTCTGTGTGCATATCATTTATATTTTAAACCTGTGTAAAAAGTACATGCCTTCTCTTATGGACAGTGGGGATTCTCTGGTTTGTCTGGGATGCTATAAATTCATCTATTTTTTAAACCATATGTCCCCTCTTTTCCAGGATATATTAAACTATATGTCCCCTCTTTTCCAGGATATATTAAACTATATGTCCCCTCTTCTCCATAATATATTAAACTATATGTCTCCTCTTCTCCATAATATATTAAACTATATGTCCCCTCTTCAGGATATATTAAACTATATGTCCCCTCTTCTCCATAGTATATTAAACTATATGTCCCCTCTTCTCCATAATATATTAAACTATATGTCTCCTCTTCCTCATAATATATTAAACTATATGTCCCCTCTTCTCCATAATATATTAAACTATATGTCCCCTCATTCTCCATAATATATTAAACTATATGTCCCCTCTTCTCCATAATATATTAAACTATATGTCCCCTCTTTTCCATAATATATTAAACTATATGTCCCCTCTTCTCCATAATATATTAAACTATATGTCTCCTCTTCTTCAGGATATATTAAACTATATGTCACCTCTTCTCCATAATATATTAAACTATATGTCCCCTCTTCTCCATAATATATTAAACTATATGTCCCCTCTTCTCCATAATATATTAAACTATATGTCCCCTCTTCTCCATAATATATTAAACTATATGTCCCCTCTTCTCCATAATATATTAAACTATATGTCCCCTCTTCTCCATAATATATTACACTATATGTCTCCTCTTCCTCATAATATATTAAACTATATGTCTCCTCTTCTCCATAATATATTAAACTATATGTCTCCTCTTCTCCATAATATATTAAACTATATGTCTCCTCTTCTCCATAATATATTAAACTATATGTCTCCTCTTCTCCATAATATATTAAACTATATGTCTCCTCTTCTCCATTAATATATTAAACTATATGTCTCCTCTTCTTCAGGATATATTAAACTATATGTCACCTCTTCTCCATAATATATTAAACTATATGTCCCCTCTTCTCCATAATATATTAAACTATATGTCCCCTCTTCTCCATAATATATTAAACTATATGTCTCCTCTTCTCCATAATATATTAAACTATATGTCCCCTCTTCTCCATAATATATTAAACTATATGTCTCCTCTTCTTCATAATATATTAAACTATATGTCTCCTCTTCTCCATAATATAGTAAACTATATGTCCCCTCTTCTCCATAATATATTAAACTATATGTCCCCTCTTCTCCATAATATATTAAACTATATGTCCCCTCTTCTCCATAATATATTAAACTATATGTCCCCTCTTCTCCATAATATATTAAACTATATGTCCCCTCTTCTCCATAATATATTAAACTATATGTCCCCTCTTCTCCATAATATATTAAACTATATGTTTCCTCTTCTCCATAATATATTAAACTATATGTCTCCTCTTCCTCATAATATATTAAACTATATGTCCCCTCTTCTCCATAATATATTAAACTATATGTCCCCTCTTCTCCATAATATATTAAACTATATGTCCCCTCTTCTCCATAATATATTAAACTATATGTCTCCTCTTCCTCATAATATATTAAACTATATGTCTCCTCTTCTCCATAATATATTAAACTATATGTCTCCTCTTCTCCATAATATATTAAACTATATGTCTCCTCTTCTCCATAATATATTAAACTATATGTCTCCTCTTCTCCATAATATATTAAACTATATGTCTCCTCTTCTCCATAATATATTAAACTATATGTCTCCTCTTCTCCATAATATAATAAACTATATGTCTCCTCTTCTCCTTAATATATTAAACTATATGTCTCCTCTTCTCCATAATATATTAAACTATATGTCTCCTCTTCCTCATAATATATTAAACTATATGTCCCCTCTTCTCCATAATATATTAAACTATATGTCCCCTCTTCTCCATAATAGATTAAACTATATGTCCCCTCTTCTCCATAATATATTAAACTATATGTCCCCTCTTTTCCAGGATATATTAAACTATATGTCCCCTCTTCTCCATAATATATTAAACTATATGTCCCCTCTTCTCCATAATATATTAAACTATATGTCCCCTCTTCTCCATAATATGTTAAACCATATGTCCCCTCTTTTCCAGGATATATTAAACTATATGTCTCCTCTTCTCCATAATATATTAAACTATATGTCTCCTCTTCTCCATAATATATTAAACTATATGTCTCCTCTTCTCCATTAATATATTAAACTATATGTCTCCTCTTCTCCATAATATATTAAACTATATGTCCCCTCTTCTCCATAATATATTAAACTATATGTCTCCTCTTCTCCATAATATATTAAACTAGGTCTCCTCTTCTCCATAATATATTAAACTATATGTCTCCTCTTCTCCATAATATATTAAACTATATGTCCCCTCTTTTCCAGGATATATTAAACTATATGTCCCCTCTTCTCCATAATATATTAAACTATATGTCCCCTCTTCTCCATAATATATTAAACTATATGTCCCCTCTTCTCCATAATATATTAAACTATATGTCTCCTCTTCTCCATAATATATTAAACTATATGTCTCCTCTTCTCCATAATATATTAAACTATATGTCTCCTCTTCTCCATAATATATTAAACTATATGTCCCCTCTTCTCCATAATATAATAAACTATATGTCTCCTCTTCTCCATAATATATTAAACTAGGTCTCCTCTTCTCCATAATATATTAAACTATATGTCCCCTCTTCTCCATAATATATTAAACTATATGTCCCCTCTTCTCCATAATATATTAAACTATATGTCCCCTCTTCTCCATAATATATTAAACTATATGTCCCCTCTTCTCCATAATATATTAAACTATATGTCCCCTCTTCAGGATATATTAAACTATATGTCCCCTCTTTTCCAGGATATATTAAACTATATGTCCCCTCTTCAGGATATATTAAACTATGTGTCCCCTCTTCTCCAGGATATATGCTTGAGCCTGACCATGAGAAGAGACCAGATATCTATCAAGTCTCCTACTTTGCCTTCAAGTTAGCTGGAAAGGAGTGTCCAGTGCCAAATCTCTTTGTAAGTCAGTGTTCATTCATTGTGACAGATGTATTTGTACTAAGTGAAATGAAAGATCAGTGGTGTGTATCCAGCAACGCTCATGGTTGTATCGGCCCCTCTGCAGAGCTCCCCTCTCCCCACGTCACTTCCTGAGCCACTGACAGCTAGCGAGGTTGTTGCTAGGAAGAGCAAGACGAAAGCCAGGTACAGTCACATGTCACTGCTGTGGGGATATATGTGGAACATACGAGTCGGGTCTCTCTAGCAAAATAGATTTAAAAATCAATGAGAATGTATAAATAAAGGTAAATTGAAGTTTTCACTGTTCTTGTTGTTCCCCTACCATTCCAGAATCACAGAGTCCGCGGGCCCGACAGCAACTTCCATCGCTCCGAGACAGAGACCCAAGGCTGCCAACAGTAACGTGCTGCCCATCCCTGTAGCCAACACAGCTGTCACCCCTATAGCAGTGCCCGCCGCTGTCACGCCCGCCGCTGTCACGCCCGCCGCTGTCACGCCCGCCGCTGTCACGCCCACCGCTGCCACGCCCACCGCTGCCACGCCCATCACCCCTACAGCTGTCAGCAATGGGCAGAAAGGTGAGAGTACAAAAGTACTGTGTGTGTGTGTTTATCTGCCATTGTGCCCTTGAGCAAGACACTGAACCCCTATTACATTGATGGAAGTTACAATCTATCTGCAATATTAAAGCTGATCTACCCCCTAAAAAAAAAAAGACACTGAACCCCTAAGCGGCTACCCCCCCAGGGGCATTGCTCTGTGGCTGACCCTGTGCATCTCAACTTGTGTGTATATTTGGGGGGGGGTTTGCATAAGCAGAAGACACATTCTCACAAAATGGACAATAAATCCTCTCCTCTCCTCTCCTCTCCTCTCCTCTCCTCTCCTCTCCTCTCCTCTCCTCTCCTCTCCTCTCCTCTCCTCTCCTCTCCTCTCCCTCTCCTCTCCTCTCCTCTCCTCTCCTCTCCTCTCCTCTCCTCTCCTCTCCTCTCCCACCCCTCTCCTCTCCTCTCCCCTCCCCTCCCCTCCCCTCCCCTCCCACAGCTCCAACACCTGGTAACAGCCAGCCGGTTGCTCCACAGCCTCAGATAGCCAACCGGGTCCTCCAACAGCTGCAACCTGGAGACCTGCGTCTGCAACAACAACTCCATCAACAACAACAACAACAACAACTCCATCCTGTCCATCCACAGCAGCTCCAATACCTCCAGGTACTACTGAGTTACCTTCACTGTCTGACACCAGGGAATCAGTGTTGTGTATGTTTAACTTCAGGTGGTACCTTCCTGTTTGCTTCCTGTTCCGTGTCTAGTGAGAACAACACAGGGATGTGTTCAGTAAGGCACACCATAGCAAAAAAGTTTTGCAACTCAAAACGAAGAACCGTGTCCTTTTTTGGAGAAATTGAGTTAGTACCTCCCAATTTCAAAACGCTTTCCTCCCTATTGAACACAACCCTGCTCAACTCTTTCCTTCCTATTGAACACAACCCTGTTCCAACCACTACTTCCTCCCTATTGAACACAACCCTGATCCAACCACTACTTCCTCCCTATTGAACACAACCCTGATCCAACCACTACTTCCTTCCTATTGAACACAACCCTGATCCATGCACAACTAGTCTAATCTGATAGGGTAACAGATTGGCTGGTTGTTAGGGAATGTACGTAAAGATCTACCCGTCAATCAGTCTATAAATAATCTTATAGCAATCTAAGATGTAATCTTTTTAATGTAGAGAGAAACTAACATGGTCTACCTCTCTCCTCTCAGTACCAGCAGGCTCTTCATCAGCAGGCTCTTCAGCAACAGGCCCTTCAACAGCAGGCCCTTCAGCAACAGGCCCTTCAGCAACAGGCCCTTCAGCAACAGGCCCTTCAGCAACAGGCCCTTCTCCAACAACAGATGATGATGCAGCCCGTGTATCAGCAACAACAAGCCCAGGCTCAGGTCCACTATGCTGCCATGGTAAGACACACAGGCAGATGATTTTTAAATGGGCGGATGGTGAATGTCGATGTGCTTTGGTGTACATATCCCGGGAAAAAGTTGAGTGATCTTGAAACCGTGGAGAGGGATACACCTATCCATTTACAGGAAGATTAGCCTGATTTTTTTAAATTCTCAAGTGATTTCGCATGTTTAAATATTTAAGTCATGGTTCTACCGACTCCATGAGAATCCTTTTTCAAATCATGCATAAAAAAAATATTTCACTTTCTTTGGAATGGCAAACCAGAAAGTTTAACAAGCATATTTATATATAACGAACATGAGTTTGGAGGGTTAAAACAATTAAATATTAAGGCATTAATTAAACCTCTCTTAAAGCCTCCATTGTACTGACATTTTATCTAAATCCAAACTGGTTTTCTAGCAAGCTAATAAGAGAGGTCCAGCCTGTGTTTTGAGAGTGGGCTCTTTGCCTTTTTGCTAATTTAAAACCTTCAATTTTTGGTGGATTGACAATGGATCCCTGTTTAAAGTCATACGGAGTTGGCTACAATTTCAATGTCATCCTCCAGATAAGGCAGATCTAATAATGTTGACCAGAATGGTCAATATATGGGTCATTGAACAGTCAGAGTCAATAGAATATATTTTCTGGTACTGTCCATCGGTGGCTCGATTGTGGAGTCCAGGTCCAGGAATGGTTTTTATGTCATATCAGGGTTCAGATGGCCCGGCAAACTGTATTATTAGGGGATCTGAAAAACCACTGGAAATATTATACTCTTGGGTAAAGTATTTATTTGTAGGGCAATATCGGAAAAAATGGTACAAATAGGGAGGTTCGGGATAGTAGAGTGGGGGAGGTTCGGGATGGAGAGGATAGTAGAGTGGGGGAGGGGGATAGGAGAGTGGGGGAGGGGGATAGTAGAGTGGGGGAGGGGGATCGTAAGAGTGGGGGGGGGGGATAGTAGAGTGGGGGGGGGGGAGTGGGGGGGGGTAGTAGAGTGGGGGAGGGGGATAGTAGAGTGGGGGAGGGGGATAGTAGAGTGGGGGAGGGGGATAGTAGAGTGGGGGAGGTTGGCTGGGAGAGAATAGTAGAGTGGGGAGGGGGATAGTTAGAGTGGGGGAGGGTCGATAGTAGAGTGGGGGCGGGGGATAGTAGAATGGGGGAGGGAGGATGGGATAGTAGAGTGGGGGAGGGGGATAGTTTAGTAGAGTCGGGGGGAGGGGGCGGGGATAGTAAGTGGGGGAGGTTAGGGATGGAGAGGATAGTAGAGTGGGGGAGGGGGATAGGCCGAAGTAGAGTGGGGGATAGTAGAAGTGGGGGGTGGGATGGGGGGAGGGGGAGGATAGTGAGTGGGGGAGGGGGGTATAGTTTAGAGTGGGGGGAGGGGGATCCCAGTTAGAGTGGGGGGAGGGGGGGTGGGTTAGTAGAGTGGGGGAGGTTGGCGATGGAAGAGCGGATAGTAGAGTGAGGGGGAGGGGGATAGTATGAGTGGGGGGAGGGGGATAGTAGAGTGGGGGAGGGGGGGATAGTAGAGTGGGGGAGGGGGGCTATTGAAGTGGGGGAGGTTAGAAGAGGTTCGGAGATGGGAGAGGATAGTAGAGTGGGGGAGGGGTTCTATATGTAGAGTGGGGGAGGGGGATAGTGAGAGTGTGGGGAGGGGGATAGTAGAGGGGGAGGGGCATGATAGTAGTAGAAGTTGGGGGAGGGGGAAGTAGGGAGTGGGGTGTGGAGGGGGATAGTGGGGAGGGGGATAGTAGAGTTGGGGGGGGAGGTCGTGATTAGTGGGAGGAGGTTCAAGGATAGCTGGGGGAGGGGGATAGTAGAGTGGGGGAGGGGATAGCTAGAGGGGGGGGGTGAGGGGGGGGGATAGTAGAGGTGGGGGAGGTTCGGGATAGTGGGGGAGGTTTGGGATAGAATGGGGGAGGGGGGAGAGTAGAGGGGGAGGTTGTGGGATAGTAGATTGGGGAGAGGGGGATAGTAGTGCGGGAGGGGGGATAGTAGAGTGGGGGAGTTCGGATAGTGGGGGAGGTTCGGGGAAGTGGGGGTAGGGGGATTAGTGAGTGTGGGAGGGGGATATAGAGTTGGGGGAGGGGGAGATAGTAGAGTGGGGGAGGGGGAATGAGAGGGGGGAGGAGGGATAGTAGAGTGGGGGAGGTTTGGGTAGTGGGGGAGGTTTGGGATAGTAGGGGAGGGGGATGGATGGAACAGTAGAGTGGGGAAGGTTCGGGGCGGATGAGGATAGTAGAGTGGGGAGGGGGATAGTAGAGTGGGGATAGTAGAGTGGGGGAGGGGGACAGTAGAGTGGGGGAGGGGGATTAGTAGCGTGGGGGAGGGGGGAGGGGGATTAGAGGTCGGGGGAGGGGGGGGTGGTAGTAGTCAGAGTGGGAGGTTGGGAATGGAGAGGTAGTAGAGTGGGGGAGGGGGATCAGGGAGGGGGATAGTAGAGTGGAGAGGGGGATAGTAGAGTGGGGGAGGGGGGGATAGTAGAGTGGGGAGGGGGGAGGTGGAATAGTAGGTGGGGGGGAGGGGGGGGGGGATAAGGGGGGTGGGGATAGTAGAGGTGGGGGAGGGGAGGGGGATAGTAGAGTGGGGGAGGTTGGGATGGAGATGATAGTTAGAGTGGGGGAGGGGGAGGGATAGAGAGTGGGGGAGGGGGATGTAGGTGGGGGAGGGGTTAGATTGGGGGCGAGGGGATAGTAGAGTGGGGATGGGGATAGATAGTAGAGTGGGGCGGGGGATGGGGGATCGTGGGGGAGGGGATATAGAGGGGGGGGGGGGGGAGGTTCCGGGATAGGGGGGGAGGTTCAGGATAGTTGGGGAGGGGGATAGTTAGACGGGGGGAGGGGGATGGATAGTAGAGTGGGGGGGAGGGGGGGGATGGTAGGGGGAGGGGGGATAGTAGAGTGGGGGAGGTTTGGGGATAGTAGAGTGGGGGAGGGGGGAGGGGGATAGTAGAGTGGGAGGAGGTTCGGGATAGTGGGGGAGGTTTAAGGTGCGGATAGTGGGGGAGGTTCGGAGATAGTAGAGGGGGTGGAGGGGGATAGTAGAGTGGGGAGGGGGAGATAGGAGAGGGGGGAGGGGGAGAGAGATAGTAGAGTGGGGAGGGGGAGACGAGAGTGGGGGAGGGGGGATAGTAGAGGGGGAGGGGGGATAGTAGAGTGGAGGGAGGGGTGATAGGAGAGTGGGGGGGAGGGGGATAGTAGAGTGGGGGAGGAGGGTTAGTAGAGTGGGGGAGGTTTGGGATAGTGGGGGAGGGGGATTGGATAGTAGAGTGGGGGAGGGGGATAGTCAGTGGGGGTAGGGGGGATAGAGAATGGGGGAGGATTGATAGGAGAGTGGGGGAGGGGGGGGTGTAGAGGGGAGAGGCTTGGTAGTGGCGTGGGGGATAGTCGAGTGGGGGAGGTTCTGGATAGCGGGGTAAAGTGGGGATGGGGGGGGAGGGGGGGACATTAGAGTGGGGGCGGTTCCGGAGTGGCGAGGATTAGTTAGAGTGGGGGAGGAGGACAGTAGAGTAGGGGAGAGGGGATAGTAGCGTGGGGGAGGGGGATTAGGGGATTAGAGTGGGGGAGGGGGTAGGTTAGTAGAGTGGGGGAGGTTGGGATGAGTGCGTGGAGGTTCGGGATGATAGAGTGGGGGGGAGGTTTCGGGATAGGATAGAGTGTGGGGGGGAGGTTAGGGGAATAGAGTGGGGGGGAGGTTCGGGATTAGAGTGGGGAGGGGGAGGGGGATAGGAGAGGTGGGGAGGGGGATAGGAGAGTGGGGGAGGGGGGATAAAGAGTGGGCGAGGGGGGCGATGTAGAGTGGGAGGGGGGGGATAGTAGAGGGGGGAGGTTTGGGATGATAGTAGAGGGGGGGAGGGGGATAGTAGAGTGGGGGGCGGTTGGCGATAGGGGGGAGGTTCGGGATGATAGTGGGGAGGAGGTTCGGGGATAGTAGCGTGGGGGGAGGGGATAGTAGAGTGGGAGGGGGAAGAGCTGATGCGAGATAGTAGATGGGGGAAGGGGATGAGTGGGGGGGGGGTAGTAGAGTGGGGGAGGTTTGGGGATAGTGGCGGAGGTAGAGGGACTAGAGTGGGGGGGAGGTCTCGGGGACTGAGTGGGGGGGAGGTTATTCGGGGATGGATGAGAGTGGGGGGGGGGAGAGTCGGGATAGAGTGGGGGAGGGGGATCAGGAGAGTGGGGGAGGGGGGATAGGAAGAGGGAGGGGGGGGATGGACTAGGAGAGTGGGGGAGGGGGATAGGAGAGTGGGGGGGAAGGGGGGATTAGGGGATAATGGATATAGAGTGGGGGAGGGGGATAGTAGAGTGGGGAGGGGGGGGGAGATGGGATAAGTAGAGTTGGGGGAGGTTGGATAGTAGAGTGGGGGGGGAGCGGGGATAGTAGGTGGGGGAGGTAGGGATAGTTGGGGGGGAGGTTCGGGATAGTGGGGGAGGTCGGGATAGAGCGTGGGGGGAGGGGGATAGTAGAGTGGGGAGGGGGGAAGATAGTAGAGTGGGGGAGGGGGAGATTAAGGAGAGTGGGGGAGGGGGGATTATGAGAGTGGGGGAGGGGGAGGATAGTTAGGTGGGGGAGGGGGATAGTTAGAGTGGGGAGGGGGATAGTAGAGTGGGCGGCATTCGTACCAAGGGGAAGTAGAGTGGGGGAGGAGGGTTAGTAGAGTGGGGGAGGTTTGGATTGGTGGGGGAGGGGGATAGAGTAGAGTGGGGGAGGGGGATGATAGTAGACGTGGGGGGAGGGGGGGATAGTAGAATGGGGAGGGGGAATAGGAGAGGGGGGAGGGGGGGTTAGATAGAGTGGGGGAGGTTCGGGATAGTGGAGTGGGACAGTAGAGTGGGGGAGGAGGTTTGGGATAGTGGGGGAGAGGGATAGTAGAGGAGGGGGGAGGGGGATAGTTAGCGTGGGGGAGGGGGATAATGGTGGGGGAGGGGGATTCGGGTAGTAGAGTTGGGGGAGGGGTTGGGATAGATGGTGAGGTAGGGTAGAGTGGGGGGGAGGTTAGGATGAGTGGGGGGGAGGTAGGGATACGAGTAGGGGGGAGGTTAGGGGATAGAGTGGGGGTGGGAGGGGGATAGGAGAGTGGGGAGGGGGAATAGGAGAGTGGGGAGGGGGGCTAATAGAGTGGGGGAGGGGGGATAGGAGAGTGGGGGAGGGGGGAGATCGTTAGAGTGGGGGAGGTTTGGGATAGTAGAGTGGGGGAGGGGGATAGTAGAGTGGGGGAGGGTCGGTCGGGATAGTGGGGGAGGTTCGGGATAGTGGGGAGGTTCGGGATAGTAGAGGGGGGGGAGGGGGATAGTAGAGTGGGGGAGGGGAGCTAGAGAGGTGGGGGAGGGGATTAGAGTGGGGGAGGGGGGTGGGTGGTAGTCGATGTGGGGAGGTTTGGGGATAGTGGGGAGGTTCGGGATAGAGTGGGGGGGAGGGTGCGGATAGAGGGGGGTGGGAGGGTCGGATAGAGTGGGGGGAGGTTCGGGAAGAGTGGGGGAGGGGGATAGGACAGTGGGGGAGGGGGATAGGAAGAGTGGGGGAGGGGGATAGGAGAAGTGGGGGAGGGGGGATAATAGAGTGGGGGAAGGGGGATAGTAGATGGGGAGGGGGGATAGTAGAGTGGGGTAGGTTTGGATAGTAGAGTGGGGAGGGGGGATAGTAGAGTGGGGGGAGTTAGGGATAGTGGAGGGGAGGTTCGGGATAGTGGGGGAGGTCGGGGATAGTAGGTGGGGGAGGAGGGAGGGGTGCAGTAGAGTGGGGGAGGGGGGAGGATAGTAGAGTGGGGGAGGGGGAGATAGTAGGAGTAGGGGGAGGGGGATATGAGAGTGGGGAGGGGGGATAGGGATGAGGGGGGTAGTCGAGTCTGGGGGAGGGGGATAGATAGAGTGGGGGAGGGGGGGATAGTAGAGTGGGGAGGGGATAGTAGAGTGGGGGGGAGGGTTAGGGGAGGAGGCGTTAGTAGAGTGGGGGAGGTTTGGGTCGTGGGTGAGGGGGATAGTAGAGTGGGGGAGGGGGATAGAGGGGGATAAGACTAGAGGGGGGAGGGGAGGATAGTTAGAATGGGGGAGGGTGTGATCGGGAGAGTGGGGGAGGGGGGGTAGGGTGGTAGTAGAGTGGGGGAGGTTTGGGATAGTGGAGTAGGGGCTAGTAGAGTGGGGGAGGTGGGGATAGTGGGGGAGGTTGGGATTAGTGGGGGAGGGGGGCTTAGTAAGTGGGGAGGTTTCGGGGGTGGATGGAGGAGGATATAGAGAGTGGGGGGGAGGGGGATAGTAGAGCGGGGCGGGGGGGGGGAGGGGGCGGGGGGGGGATAGTAGCGTGGGGAGGGGGATAGAGTGGGGGAGTGGGGGGTAGTAGAGTGGGGGAGGTTTGGGATAGTGGGGAGGTTCGGGAATAGGGAGTGGGGGGGAGGTTCGGGGATGGGGAGGTCGGGATAGAGGGGGGGAGGTCGGGGAAGAGGGGGGGGAGGTTCGGGATAGAGTGGGGAGGGGATAGGGAGAGTGGGGGAGGTGGGATAGGAGAGTGGCGGGAAGGGGGATAATAGGATTGGGGGGAGGGGGGATGGGGATGTAGAGTGGGGGAGGTTGGGGATAGTGGGAGTGGAGGATAGTAGCTGAGAGTGGGGGGAGGGGGGATAGTAGAGTGGGGAGGTTCGGGTTTCGGGAGGTCGGGATAGAGAGGAGTAGAGTGGGGGCGTTTCGGGATAGGGGGGAGGGGGATAGTAGAGTGGGGGGAGGGGATAGTAGAGTGGGGGAGGGGGATAGTGAGTGGGGGAGGGGAAATAGTCGGTGGGGAGGGGGATTAGTAGCGTGGGGAGAGGGATAGTAGAGGGGGGACGGTTGCGGATAGTGGGGGAGGTTGGGGATAGTGGGGGAGGGGGATAGTTAGAGTGGGGGAGGGGGATAGTAGAGTGGGGGAGGGGGGATAGTAGAGTGGGGGAGGGTGCTTTGATAGGAGAGTGGTGGAGGGGGGGTGGTAGTAGTATAGTAGAGGGGGGGAGGTTTTGGATAGTGGAGTGGGGGACTAGTAGAGATGGGGGAGGGGGGATAGTAGAAGTGGGGGCGGTTCGGGTGGAGAGGATAGTTAGAGTGGGGGAGGGGAGGATGATATTAGATGGGTGGAGGGGGGGACTGATGATAGTAGAGTGGGGGAGGGGGATTAGTAGGGGGATAGTAGAGTGGGGGAGGGGGATAGTAGAAGTGGGGAGGGGGATAGTAGCGTGGGGGAGGGGGTAGGTAGTAGAGTGGGGGAGGGGGGTAGTAGAGTGGGGAGTTGGGATAGTGTTGGAAGGTTAGGGATAGGTGGGGGGGAGTTCGGGACAGATTGGGGGGGAGGTTCGGGATGTAGGTGGGGAGGGGGGATGATAGGAGATGGGGAGGGGGGGGGGGAGGGGGATAGGAGATTGGGGGCGGGAGGGGGGATAGTAGAGTGTGGGGAGGGGGGGATAGTAGGATGGATAGTAGAGTGGGGGGAGTTTGGGAGGGCGGATAGTGGGGGAGGATAGTAGAGTGGGGGAGGGGGGAAGTAGAGTGAGGGGAAGGTTCGGGATGGAGAGGATAGTAGAGTGGGGGAGGGGGGGGGGGAGGGGGCTAGTAGAGTGGAGGAGGGTTAGGGGGAAGAGAAGTGGGGGAGGGGGAATAGTAGCGTTGGGGGGAGGGGGGCAGAGTGGGGGAGGGGGTGGTTGGTGTAGGGTGTTAGGGTGGTAGGTAGTGGAGGGGTTGTAGAGTGGGGGAGGTTTGGGATAGTGGGGGAGGGTTCGGGATTAGAGCGGGGAGGGGGAGGGATAGGAGGAGGGGGGGGATAGGAGAGTGTGGGGGAGGGGGAGGGGGGGTAGGAGAGTGGGGAGAAGAGGGGATAGGAGAGTGGGGGAGGGGGGCTCGGGGAGGGGTGGTGGGAAGACGGAGAGTGGGGGAGGGGGTGGGTGTGGGAGAGGAGCGTGGGGGGAGGGGGATAGGAGAGTGGGGGAGGGTGGATGTGGATAGGAGAGTGAGGGAAGGGGGTCGGAGAGTGAGGAGGGGGGAGATAGAGTGGGGAGGGGGGATAGGAGAGTGGGGGAGGGGGGGGTAGGTGTAGAGTGGGGGGGGAGGGGGGACGTAGGTGGGGGGATGAGGGGATAGTAGGTTTAGAGTGGGGGAAGGGGGCAGATGAAGGGGATAGAGTAGAGCGGGGGAGGTTAGGGGGTGGAGAAAGAAGTAGATTGGGGAGGGGGAAGAGGGACAGTAGAGTGGGAGAGGTGGATAGTAGCGGGGGGAGGGGATATGATTGAGCGGGGGAGGGGAGTAGTAGGGGTAGTAGAGTGGGGGAGGTTGGGATAGTGGGGGAGGTTGGAGATAGGGGGGAGGTCAGCGGATTCAGGTGGGGGGGGAGGCTCGGGATAGAGTGGGGGGTAGGTCGGATGAGAGTGGGGGGGAGGGGGAGGTTCCGGGGATGTAGAGTGGGGGAGGGGATAGGGAGTGGGGGAGGGGGATAGGAAGAAGATTGGGGGAGGGGGAGGATAGTAGAGTGGGGCGAGGTTTGGGTAGCGGAATGGGGGGAAAGTAGAGTGGGGGGAGGGGGATGATAGTAGAGTGGGGAGGTTCGGGAAAATGGAGGGAGGACAGTAGAGTGGGGAGGGGGATAGTAGAGTGGGGAGGGGGGAGGGGGAATGAGGGGGGGGAGGGGGATGTAGCGTGGGGGAGGGGGATGAAGTGGGGGGAGGGGGCGGTAGGGGGTTAGGTGGGTAGTGAGTGGGGGAGGTTTGGGGTACGTGGGGGAGGGTAGTTGGGTGTAGAGTGGGGGAGGGGGATAGGAGAGTGGGGTGAGGGGGATGGGAAGGAGAGTGGGGGAGAGGGGAGGGAGCAGGAGGAGAGTGGGGGAGAGGGGGAGAGGAGGAGTGGGGGAGGGGGTGTGGGAGAGGCGAGTGGGGGAGGGGGTGGGTGGAGAGTGGGGGAGGGTGGATAGGGAGAGTGAGGGAAGGGGGATAGGAGAGTGAGGGCAGGGGGGATAGAGTGGAGGGAGGGGGGATAGGAGAGTGGGGGAGGGGGGGTTAGAGAGGGGGGGAGGGGGGATAGTAGCGTGGGGGAGGGGGGATAGTAGAGGTGGGGGAGGTTCGTGATGGAGAGGATAGTAGAGTGGGGAGGGGGATAGTAGAGTGGGGGCAGGTTCGTGATGGAGAGGATAGTAGTAGTGGGAGGAGGGGGATAGGAAGAGGTGGGGGAGGGGGTAGGTAGTAGTAGTAGAGTGGGTGAGGGGGGATAGTAGAGTGAGGAGAGTTTGGGATAGGGGGGGAGGGTCGGGGATCGAGTGGGGGGGGAGGTCGGGAGGATAGGGATAGAGTGGGGGGGAGGTTAGGGATAGAGTGGGGAGGGTGATGAGGGGGATAGGAGAGTGGGGGAGGGGGGTCAGTGGTAGGTAGAGTGGGGGAGGGGGCATAGGAGATGGTTGGGAGGGGGATAGGAGAGTGGGGGAGGGGGATAGGAGAGTGGGGGAGAGGTGACGGAGAGGGGGGGAGGGGGTTGGGGAGGAGAGGGATGGCGGGAGGGGGGTGGGGGAGGGAGAGGGAGAGGGGGGGGGGAGGGGGATAGAAGAGTGGGGGGAGGGTGGATAGGAGAGTGGGGGAGGGTGTATAGTAGAGGGGATAGGGGGATAGTGAGAGTGGGGTAGGGGATTAGTAGAGTGGGGAGGGGGATAGTAGGTGGGGGAGGGGGATGATAGTAGAGTGGGGGAGGGGGGGATAGTAGAGTGGGGGAGGTTAGGTTTGGATAGTGGGGGAGGGGGATAGTTAGTAGAGTGGGGGAGGGGGGGGGTGGTAGTGGTAGTATAGTGGGGGAGTTCGGGGATAGTAGCGTGGGGGAGGGGGATAGTAGAGTGGGGGGAGGGGGGATAGTAAGTGGGGGAGGTTCGGGAAGGAGAGGATAGTAGAGTGGGGGAGGTTCGGGGATGGATGAGGATAGTAGAGTGGGGGAGGGGGATAGGATAGTAGAGGGGAGGAGGGGGAGGGGGATAGAGTGGGGAGGGGGATGTCGCGTGGGGGTGGGGGAGGGGATAGAGTGGGGGAGGGGGGTAGTAGGGTAGTTAGTTTGGTATAGAGTGGGGGAGGTTTGGGGATAGTGGGGGAAGGTTCGGATAAGAGTGGGGGTGGGGGAGGGGGATAGGAGGTGGGGAGGGGGATGATGGAGAGTGGGGAGCGGGGATAGGAGAGTGGGGAGGGGGGTGTGGGAGAGGAAGGAGGGGGAGAGGGGGGAGGGGGATAGGAGAGGGGGGAGGGGGGATAGGAGAGGAGGGAAGGGGGATTAGGAGAGTGAGATAGGGGGGGATTTGGATAGAGTGGGGGAGGGGGGGATAGGGCGAGGGGGGATAGGGGAGTTAGTGGTTGGGTAGTGAGAGTGGAGGGAGGGGGATGGCTGGGTCGAGGGGGGAGGGGATTGGGGGGGGACGTAGTAGATGGGGGAGGTTCGTGATGGAGAGGATAGTAGAGGGGGGGAGGGGGATAGTAGAGAGAGTGGGGGAGGTAGCGTTATGATGGAGAGGATAGTAGGAGGGGGGAGGGGATAGGAGAGGTGGGGGGGGTGGGTTTGTTAGGGGAGGGGGGGTAGTAGAGCGGGGGAGGGGGGGATAGTAGAGGGGGGAGGTGGTTTGGGATAGGGGGGGGGAGTTCGGTAGAGTTGGGGGGGAGGAGGTTCGGATAGAGTGGGGGGAGGGTAGGGATCAGAGTGGGGGAGTGGGATTAGGAAGCAGTGGGGGGAGGGGGGTAAGGGTTGTAGGTAAGTAATTAGTAAGTGGGGGGGAGGGGGCTAGGAGAGTGGGGAGAGGGGGATAGAGGAGTGGGGGAGGGGGAGAGGGAGTGGGGGGAGAGGTGATAGGAGAGTGGGGGGGGGGTGGGGAGAGGAGAGTGGGGGAGGGGTGGTTGGGAGAGGAGAGGGGGGAGGGGGGATAGGAGAGTGGGGAGGTGGATAGTAGAGTGGGGTAGGGGGATAGTAGAGTGGGGTAGGGGATAGTAGAGTGGGGAGGGGGATAGTGAGTGGGGAGGGGTGGGATGGGCTTGATAGTAGGTGGGGGAGGTTGGGTAGTTGGGAGGGGGATAGTAGAGTGGGGGAGGGGTGGGGGTGTATAGTGGGGGAGGTTCGGGATAGTAGAGTGGGGAGGGGGAAGTATTAGAGTGCGGGGAGGGGGGAGGGGGGATAGTTAGAGGTGGGGGGGAGGTTCGGATGGAGACGGATAGTAGAGGGGGGAGGGTTCGGGATGGAGAGGATAGAGGTGGGGGAGGGGGATAGATAGTGGGATGGGGAAGTAGAGGGGGGAGGGGGGATAGTAGAGTGGGGGAGGGGGATAGTAGAGGGGGGAGGGGGATAGTAGAGGGGGGAGGGGGATAGTAGAGGGGGGGGAGGGGGGGGATAGTTAGAGGGGGGAGGGGGCGGGTTAGAGTGGGATAGAGAGTGGGGGACGGGGGATAGTAGAGTGGGGGAGGGGATGTAGAATGGGGAGGTTCGGGATGAGAGGATTAGTAGAGTGGGGGTGAGGGGGATAGTAGAGTGGGGGAAGGGGGAGATAGTAGAGTTGGGGAGGGGAGGTTGGGATAGTGGGTCTGGATGTGGTTGGGATAGTGGGGTAGGTCGGGAGTTTAAGAGTGGGGGGGGAGGTTCGGGATAGAGGGGGGGGAGGTATCGGGGATAGAGTGGGGGGGGGGGTGGGAGGGGGTGGGAGAGGAGAGTGGGGGAGGGGATAGGAGAGTGGGGGAGGGGGGTGAGGGGGATAGGAGAGTGGGGGAGGGGGATATGAGAGTGGGGGGTGGGAGGAGGAGAGTGGGGAGGGGGAGGATAGGAGAGTGGAGGGATGGGGGATAGGAGAAGTGGGGAAGGGGATAGGAGAGTGAGGGAGGGGGATAGGAGAGTGAGGGCGGGGGATAGGAGAAGTGAGGGAGGGGGGATAGGTGGGGGAGGGGTGGCGAGAGGAGGTGGGCTAGGAGAGTAAGTCGCTCTGGTTAAGAGCGTATGCTAATGACAAAAGTTAAAATGTAACTGATGAGAGTGGGGGAGGGGGCAGGAGAGTGGGGGAGGGGGGATAGGAGAGTGGGGGAGGTTCGGGATGGGGAGGGGGGAGGTTCGGGTAGTAGAGGGGGGGAGGGGGGATAGGAAGTGGGGAGGGGAAATAGAGTGGGGGGAGGGGGATAGCAGGGGGGAGGGGGGTGAGTGGGAAGGCGGGGTGGGAGAGAGAGTGGGGGAGGGGGGAGAGGAGAGTGGGGGAGGTTAGGGGATATTATAGTGGGGGAGGGGGATAGGAGAGTGGGGGAGGGGAAATAGAGTGGGGAGGGGGTGGGAGGAGTGGGGAGAGGGGGATAGGAGAGGGGGGAGGGGGTAGTAGAGTGAGGGGAAATACAAAAACCGCTAGCCATAGTTAGACCACGCACCACACTCACACTCAGCCATTGTAAACATTAACAACAGCCAGGGCGAAACAGACCAACTACTCAGCCATGTAACATGAAACAACAGGCCCAGGAACAGGTCTAAGCGCGAGTTCAGACCATCATCCAGTAATAAATTGCAATGCAGGGTACAAAAGAAAAGAAGATGGATGACCACACACTGAATCTCCCCTGGTTTATTTGCCCCTGAAGGAAAGACAGTCGATTAAGCAGATACATGTACCCTGACTGAAAAACTGTAGTGAATGCTGGTACATAGCCACGAGAACGTCTGTAGAGGGAAGCAAACCTGTCTGTTTAGGCGTGCCGAAACACGCACCAGGGTGACAGGACGCCGGAAACAGCTGGCTTGTGAAATATATCCCCAAAACTGCCGCTTTTAAAATTCTTCTCCAAACACTCACTGGCACCATGCCATGAACAGACCTGTCTACCAATCGTTGGGGTGCAGGGCAAATGACATCATCAAACAATCCCCTACACTCATTATTACGTTACTCTCGGTGACAACGTTGCTCTCGTGACAACGTTACTTCTCGGTGGACAACCCATCGCCAAACACCTGTCATCCAAATACACACTGTAAAGGCGGAGTATTTTAGCCTGATTTTCACGAACGGTACCAGCGGTACCATCTGTTTTAAGTTCAGCAGCAATCTGCTCCGGCCATACAGCATCAGGGGAGAGGAGAGGAGGAGGAGGGGGTGGGGGGGGGTTAGGGGGTAGGGGGGGGGGGGGAAGCTCCACGGTTGCTTTGTGGTGTTCTGTGTTAAAAGCGTGAATATGAAGCAATTACACAGAGAGGAAATCAGGCTCCTCTCTCTCGTCCGTTGTACTCACTCTAGGAACTACCACTCTCCATACATGTGGTGTTCGAGTAGCAGTCAAGCCATAATCACCTTTTAACATAAGTTCTTAACACATCACTTGTCAACGCTAGTCCTAATGTCTTCTCCCTGTCCATCCAGATTCATTCGGGTCTGTAGTCCTGGCTCTGGTCATGTCACCATGAATACTGTTACCTCGGTTCCCCTCCCCTGTCAGAGTGCACCAGGTTACCAACAGGCCTGGACACAGCAGCAGCAGCCAACAACATCAACTGACCCTACAACAACAGCACAACGCAGCAACAGCAAACAGCGGTACAGCATCAACAGCTCCCAACCGCAGCCAATGTGACCTCCCCGTTAGAGTTCCAGCTTCTTTGGGCTCTTTTATTCTCGGCTGGGTTGGTCAGCCTGTGTGTCGTGGCTGGGCCTGCAGTTGGGGCTGGGGTTGGAAATGTGACACCTTCCCTTTGAGGCTCCATACAACTAACATCAGGTAACACCCTTCCCCTTGTTGAGGCTCATATCCACTACACCAGGGAACATCCATCAGTCACCTCATACCCAGTTTTATTGTGCCTGTAATGTCTGGTCAGTAACACAGGACCACCAACAAAGTAATTCAACACATCACTAAGCATCTTCAATCTATGGTGATCCCAGCAATTTTAGACCGCCAGACCCGCTTCATAGCTTCCCTCTCTTCCGCTCTCCACAGCAGAAACCCTCTGGCGTGGACATAACAGGGACCACCCCTCCCCTCCAAGACCATGGTCGCTCCCAGAGCCAAACCTCCGTGACATGTCCCGCTGAACCCCTTCGGAGAGGAACAACTTCTCCAAACTCACAGAGGAGAACTTCTGGACCGCGAGTTCGACCTCCTCCGAGGCAAGCAAGTGTCCCATCTTGTACCTTTCACCAGGCAAGTGTCATCCTTTTACCTTCCCTTTCCGTTACTGTCCACCTGGGTTCGATTCCACGGGGGGAACCAGTACAAAAAAAAAGAAAGGTGGAAAAAGTACATTACTTCACAATGATAGTTCTCTGGATAAGAGCATCTGCTTAACTGACTCGCTTATAAACCTTCTTTCAAAGGTTCCTGATCTAGTTGCATATATCAATATGTTAAAAATCTGTCTCGATTTGTTACATTTACACTTACCGTTCAAAAGTTTGGGGTCACTTAGAAATGTCCGGGTTTTTTGAAAGAAAGCAATGTTGCGTTCCATTATAATAACATTCAAATGATCAGAAATACCGTTTTAGCATTTGGTAAATGGATGATTTTTTTTTTTTGAATATTCTACAATCGGGCGTACAGAGGCCCATTATCAGCAAAACATCAGCCATGTGTTCCAATGGACGTTTTGTTGTGTTGCATCCAAGTTGATCATTTTAAAAGGCTAATGATTATAGGAAAAACCCTGTTGCAATGATGTTAGCACAGATGAAAATGTTGTGCTGATTTAAAGAAGAACAATTAGCAATAAAACTGGCCTTCTTGAGACTAGTGAGTATCTGGAGCACAGCATTGTGGGTTCGTTACAGGCATTCAAAAGGCCAGAAACAAATAACTTTGCTCTTCGAAACTCGTCAGTCTATTCTTGTTCTGAGAAATGAAGGCTATCCATGCGAGAATTGCCAAGAAACTGAAGATCTCGTTTACAACGCTGTGTACTTACTCCCTTCACAGAACAGCGCCAAAACTGGCTCTAACCGAATAGAAAGAGGAGTGGGAGGCCCCGTGCACAACTGAGCAAGAGGGACAAATACATAGTGTCTAGTTTGATAAACGATGCCTCACAGGTCCTCAAATGGCAGCTCAATTAAATTAGTACCCGCAAAACACCAGTCTCCAACGTCAAACAGTGAAAGAGGCGGACCTGGGTGCTGACCTAGACAGAGTTTGACAAAAGAAGAAACAAAAGCCATATCTCAGACTGGCAATTAAAAATTACAGATTAAGATGGGCAAAAGAACACAGGCACTGGACAGAGGAAGATTGGAAAAAAAGTGTTATGGACAGGACAAATTCAAGTTTGAGGTGTTCGGATCCAAAAGAAGAACATTTGTGTGAGACGAAGACCAAATGAAAAGATGCTGGAGAGTCTTGTGCCATCGTCAAGCAGGTGGAGGAATGTATGATAGGGGGTGCTTGGTGCGTGGTAAAGTGGGAGATGTACAGGGGGTAAAAGGGGATCTTGAAGAAGGACCGGCTTATCACTCCATTTGCAAACGCCATGCCAGAACCTGTGGACGGCCACTTGATTGGAGCCAATTTCCTCCTTAAACAGACACTGACCCAAGCACAGCTCAAACTATGCAAGAAAACTATGTAGGGAAAAGAAGCAGTCAGCTGGATCGTCTATAATGGAGGGGCAGAAACCAAAACTGTCCACCGGATCTCAACCCTATTGAGTGTTGTTGGAGAAGCTTGACGTAAGAAAGTGCCCATCAAGCCAATCCAACTTGTGAATTCTTTTTCAGATACCGGGAAACAAATTGACAAATAGAATGACCAAAGGTCTTATGCAAGGCTTTTTGTGATTGTTGTTGTATGTATGCTGTTGTAATTGCTGCAAAATGGAGGGATATTTGATGAAGCAAAGTTTGGAAGGACACATTATTATTTCAAGTAAAATCATAATTTCTAACTTGTCAATGACTACCATTTCCTATTCATTTTACTATATTTCACTATTCAAACTAAAATTCATGTTGTTTCATGGACAACCAAGGACATTTCAAAGTGACCCCAAACTTTTGACCCGGTAGTGTGTGTGTAACGGTAGTGTATATCTGCAAATGTTATCTTATATTTCAATAATGCATCTGATTAACAAAGGACAAGTTATTTATGTCTAATGCTAATTTGATGGACAATAAAACTGTTTGAATTGGTATTTTACTTGTCTAAGATCCAATCCCCTTCCCATCTGCCCTAGCAGGGATAAAACCCGTGGAGAAGAAACTAGCATGGAGGCAGACCGACCGCTGCAGCAACACCCCGCCGCAACGCCAAGCCCATCATCCCTGAATACCTGTTTGGCTACGACCCATCTGGCTAGCGCAGGCAAGTCTTAATGGAGGGCCCCTCCCCCAACCCCATCTCGCACGCCCCCCAACAGGGACACCAACACTTCAGTTGGAACTACTATCGGTCTCTTCCCCCTGCCAAAATCAAGATGGGAGGGGATAGGAGAGTGGGGGAGGTTCGGGGATAGGAGAGTGGGGGAGGTTTCGGGGATAGTAGAGTGGGGGAGGGGGGATAGGAGAGTGGGGGAGGAATAGAGTGGGGGAGGGGGATAGAGTGGGGGAGGGGTTGGGGTTAGTAGAGTGGGGGAAGGGGTGGGAGAGGAGAGTGGGGGAGGGGGGAGAGGAGAGTGGGGGAGGTTCGGGATAGTAGAGTGGGGGAGGGGGGATAGGAGAGTGGGGGAGGGGAATAGAGTGGGGGAGGGGGTGGGAGAGGAGAGTGGGGGAGGGGGATAGGAGAGTGGGGGAGGGGGGATAGGAGAGTGGGGGAGGTTCGGGATAGTAGAGTGGGGGAGGGGGGATAGGAGAGTGGGGGAGGGGAATAGAGTGGGGGAGGGGG